ATTTTATTTTAGAGATTAGGTCTCACTTTGTTGCTCAGGCTAGAGTGCAGTGGTGTGATCACAGCTCATTGAAGCCTCCAACTCCTGGGAGCTCAAGTGATGTTCCCAATTCAGCCTCCAGAGTGGCTGGGACTATAGGCGCACAGCACCATGCCCGACTAATTGAAAAATTTTTTTGTGGAGACAGGGTCTCGCTATGTTGCCCAGGCTGGTCTCAAACTCCTGGGCTCAGGCAATCCTCCTGCCTTGGCCTCCCAAAGTGGTGGGACTATTGATGTGAGCCACTGCAACCGGCCTCTTTTTCTAGTCTTATTTCCCACTCTTTGCCATTACTCATCCTATTCTCTTAGTATTATATTTTTTTCAGAGGGGAAGGGAGGGAAAGATGTTTCCTCTCTTCCTAAATGCCCTTTCCCTATTTCCACCTGTGTGATGCACAGTGAGGCTCTAATGAGGTACTCCCACCTTTGAAGGTCCTTGTGCTTTCGTAATACCTTATATATATTGCATGATGCTTATTTCATTGCATTTTATTTCCCTTTCTAAACTGTACATTCCTTTCACAAGAGTTCTTAATCTGAGATTGTAAGAAGGGGTCCAGGGAGAGAATTAAAGGGCCTTGAACTTAAATGGGAAAAAAGGTACATCTCTATTTTTATTAACTACAGCCTGAAATTTGGTATTTCCTTCAATCTTGAATGCAGACAATTAACAAGGTAGTATAGGTGTATTAGTATTCTCTATCAGGTAGTATATTAGGTAGTATAGTAAATAGTGTACTATTAGATTATTCTGAACAATAGAATATCAAATCTTTTCATATCGTATTACAGTTGTTGCAAATATCTTGAAATACTACTTATGCTCATCCCTACTTCAAAATTCTGGTAGTTTTATGTGGAGCTAGAATTATTTAATGTGCCAATAAGGCAGCAATATATATGTTTTTATATTATGTTGATACCTATATTTTAATATAATTGAGTTTCTTTAGTAATTAATATAAAATATCTATTTGGGCTCACTACATGTTTTAGTTTATGCATTTAAAAACATTATTCTAGCCAGGCACAGTGGCTCACGCCTGTAATCCTAGCACTTTGGAAGGCCAAGGTTAGAGGACTGCTTGAGGCCAGGAGTTAGAGATCAGCTTGGGCAATATAGTGAGACCCTGTCTCTATGAAATACAGAAAAATTTGCTGAGTGTGGTGGCACTCGCCTGTAGTCCTAGCTACATAGTAGGCTAAGGCAGGAGGATCGCTTGAGCCCAGGAGTTTGAGGTTGCTGTGAGGTAGGCTGACACCACTGCACTCCAGCCTGGGTGACAGAGTTAGACCGTGTCTCAAAAAAACCCATAAAAACCACCACCACCAACAAAACATTCTGAGAACAGGTCCACAGGTTCACCAGACTTCCAAAGGGGTACATGGTAAAAAAAAAAAAAAAAAGTAAAGAAAACCTGGCTTTACAGCAAAGAATGTATCTTATTTACCTTTCATCGTTCATAGCATATTGCAGGTATGTAAGAATTGCTGTATGCTCTCAAATTTGATTCTCTTCTTTTAAATATTATTTCCATCTATGGCTCTTTTTCTCTATTTTTTTCAACATGGAGCCCAAAACTTTATCCTGGGCTAATATATTTTAATTCTAAAGTTGAAAATAAGTTTATTTACTTCATGATTTTAGGTGAATGACTACTAAGCCAAAATAGCTCCTTAACCTATTTGGAGTCATGTACTTCTTTGCTTGATAAATGTTCAATTGGCTGAAAGAAATGAGAATACTTATTACCTACAAAAAATCTGAGGTCATATGGTTACGAACAAAGACAATTCTGACTTTAGAGGGAACTTAGAATTTGAAATCCAAAATGTAATACTTTTCATATATATTACTGGGAAAATAAGAGGGGAGGGCTCACACAAAATCCACAAATCATACAAGATAACGAAGGGTTTCAGAAAGCAAAACAGTAATGAGTCTATTCTATCTTATAACAGAATGAGCACTATGTTTATGTGTAAATCGAGTTTTAACAAAGACAGAAATTGGCAGAGAAGTTAATAGTGGTGTGTTTAGAGTCAAAATACTCCTGGATTTGAGTCAAATTTTGCCATTTACTAGCTGTGAGAGTCAAGGCATTTAAATTCTATCTCAGTTTCCTCATCCGACAATAAGAGATGTTAGCATCTCAGAGTTATTCAGAAGATTAAATTAGATAATGTCCACACATATTTAGCACAATCACTATCACATCACAAATATTCAGCAATTTTGATAATATTAATTTACATATATTATCTATACAACATAGGAAGAGGTAAGAAGTAACAAAGATGACAAAAAATGCTCTTGGAAAAGAAATTCTTTCTATATATGTATACTTTAAAAATATATAATCAATGAATTCGATTCAAAATTTATCTCCTTTTGTAATCTAAACACTCACACTGGAGTACATACCGGATCAACCTGCCATATGATGACTGTCGTATCTTTCGATCCTGTTGCTAGTTTAGTGCCATCGTTAGAGAATTTACAGAACCACACTTCATTACAGTGCTCCGTAAGTATCTGCTGAGTATAACAGGGGAACTGCCTCCTAAAACAAAGAAGTCCAAAAATTATTCTTTTAAAACAGATTAGAGTAATAATAATGAAAAAGGTTAAATGATAAAACTTCTTTGAAGATCACATCACAAACTTTAAACATAAGACATTAATGTATTTGAAAATCTTAAAAATCAAGTTTATATAGGTATGTTAAAAAATAAAATACAACATTAGGAACTTTTTAGTCAAGGCAATCTTACAGGAAGTCAGTAATCTAAAATCTGCTTCAATTCGTAATTTACGTTTTTTCCTGTCTGAAGATCATTGGTCTGATTAAGTCAATTCATGCAAATAATTGATATAATCAGGGCCTCGTGTTTATCTGTTTGAGTTGGACAGTATCGGCTGATTGTTCTAGAAGGAAGAATGTAACATTTTCATTTATATAACATCCAGTTATACCAAGTTGCTTTTTTAATAAAGAAAAGTTTAACAAAAAGAGAGAAGGCATTACAGTTCCAGATAACAGGTTTGGGTTCCTTCTCAGTCACAAACGTCAATGTCTTTGGCAGGTCAATAAACTCCTCTGAGCCTCGGTTCCCACATCTAAAGAATGAGATTAATATCTACCTAACAGGTTTCTCAAAATTCTTAAGTATTAGAAATCTATTTAAAATTCCTGGAATATAATGGATACTAAAATGTGATTAATATCATCTTTGGGAAAGCACAGGAGAAGTGCAATCTATGGCAGGGCTGCAGTAGCCGAGAGTAAAGCCTTAAGAATGCGGACAGTAGAGTCTGACAGTCTTAGATTCAAATCCTGGCTTAGCCACCTACTAGCTATGATTCTGGGACATTTATTTAATCTCCCCAAATCTCAATTTTTCCAACTATGAAGATAATGGTACCTGCCTTAAGAATTCCTTTTACAAGAATGAAATAAGAGGATGAGATAATGAATGTAAAGCATTTAGACTGAATCTGACACTTAGCTAGTATTTTATAAATAGCAATGAATATATATCAAAGGCAAAAAAATTCTATGATTCATGATTAACTCTACCAAGTTAAAGAGGAAACAATTACTGTAAAAACAATTATTCCAACCCTGGGCAACTTATGAGAACCCCACCACTACAAAAAATAAAAAAATGAGCTAAGTATGATGGTGTGCCTGTTGTCGCAGCTACACAGGAGGATCACTAGAGTCCAGCAGCTTGAGGCTGCAGTTAGCTATGATCCTGCCACCACATTCCAGCCTGGGCGACAGAGAACCTCTCCTAAAAGACGGCCAGACAAAAACTATTCCCTTTAAGCACTCACTTTTACAAATCATTCTATCCTTTTCAGAGCTACACATCAGCACGGTCTAATAGAAGTTACTGTAATAGTAGAAATACCGTATGTACCTGTGTCATCCAGAATGGCAGCCCTCACCATGTGGCTACTGAACACTTGAAATGCGGCTAGTAATCTGGGGGAACTTGATTGACTTACTCTGAATTGCTGTACATTTAAATTTAAATGGTCACATGCAGTTAGTGGCTACTACTGTTTGGACAGTACAGCTCTGTATTATAAAGCCTCTATATTATTAAAAAAAAGTTATTTAAACATTAATGAATAAACTTTTAAGTTTATCTTGAAAAACGGTCTTCCCTATTTTTCCCCTAACCAATCAATAATTCTAAAATATATTTTGTCAATTTACCAGCCTGATAAGTGATATGTATTTAAAAAGAAATTAACATTCTTTATCTGGCACATATGGCAATCTGCCTTAGCAGCTGGCTATTTGGAGGCTGTTTTAAACTTTAATATTAAAGCAATTTAATTTATACATCTGAAACTATCATTCTACATCTGAATTGAAACATAATCAATATTAGCTGCCATTTGTTATGCACTTACTATGTGCCAAGCACTGTGCTACATGCTTTACATATAATATTGCTAATTTCCATATAAGGGAAGTACAATCATCCCTGTTTTCATGAGGCTCAAAGGGGGCAAATAACTTACAAGATGTCATAAAACTGAGGCGTAAGTGAACTAGGATTTGAACCCATGACTGACTCCAGTTTTCTTTCCAAATGGCATTTCAAAATCATATTTTTCAAGGCTCTGCTGGATAAAATTCCAATCAAATAAGTACTTTCAATATCAGAAACAGATTTTTCCTCCTCCTATGTTTGTCAGTAGTGATTATCATTTGGTCAATGAGAAACACTTTATATCCAGGTATAAAATACACAGTAATTCAAATGGCTGAAGTTGATCATGAGTAAAAAGACATATCTAAAGTCAGGGTAGCAAAATATCTTTAAAAAGGACTGATTCCTAATCAGAATTATAGGGTACAAATCATCTCATCTATTGACAATCAATTTTATTTGAATATCATCACTAAAGTGGTATTTAGATTGTCATTATTTTTATCATTACTTAAACTTTTTTTTTTTTTTTTTGAGATGGGGTCTTGCTCTGTTGCCTGGGCTGGAGTGCAGTGACGTCATCATAGCTCACTGCAACCTCAAACTCCTGGGTTCAAGCGATCCTCCTGCCTCAGCCTCCCAAGTAGCTAGGACTGGTGTGTATCACCATGTCTGACTAATGTTTCTATTTTTTTTAGTAGAGACATAGGTCTTGTTGTTGTTACCCAGGCTGGTCTCAAACTCCTGGCCTCAAGCAATCCTTCTGCCTTGGCCCCCTGCAAAGTGCTAGGATTACAGGCATGGGCCACTATACCCGGACCATTACTTAATCTTTTAAAAAGATTAATACCTAAGGAAAAGCATAGGCTTGTGGAAAAAAAAAAAGATTAATGTAACAGCCCTGTCTATTAAAGCCCATTTTTAGATGTATACAAGTGATATTATGTCTTTGGTTTGATATAAATTTAAAACTTAAGGCTGGGCAATGTAGCTCACGCCTATAATCCTAGCAATTTGGAAAGCTGAGGCAGAAGGATTGCTTGAGGCTAACAGTTCATGTCCAGCTTGAGCAACACAGCAAGACCCACATCTCTACAAAAATCAGAAAAATTAGCTGGGCAGGGTGTTGCATGCCTGTAGTCTCAGCCACTTGGGAGGCTGAGGCAGGTAGATCGCTTAATCTCAGGAGTTTGAGGTAGCTGTGAGCTATGATGATGCCATAGCACTCTGCCACAGCACTCTAGCCCAGGCAAGAGAGCAAGACCCTGTTCCAAAAGAAAAAATTAAAAACTTAAAATTTAAGTTTTTAAATTTAAAAGAAAACTTAAATGGCATTTTTAAAAAAGTACCTTCCAAAATAAAACTAAATAAATGCACCATTTTAACCAAATTAAATCTTTAAATTTTAAGTTTCTATAAATATTTTATAATAATCCTTTACTAAAAAAATTAATACTTAGCTGTGGAAACAGCAATCCATTGGTTGCTGTTAAAAAAAAAAAAAACACAATTTTTTTTTTTTTAAATCATTATTCCTACTGGTTGAATTTAACCAAAAACATGTGTAGACTAACTGTGAAAAATAAAAATTACATACAATCTAATGAAAATTTTTCAGTGTTGATTAGGATTTTTTTAGAAAGTCATCATTTCCTTATTCATAATCAACGCTCTAGTCTCCAAAAAAGCTGGTATTTAGATTTTAATGCTAAGATTTAATTTCTGAAAAGAGTTTTCTAGTTTCAATGCTAAAATCTAGTTTCTAAAAGAAAGTAAAGCAGACAATAAAAATTATCAACTTTTCTTTTGAAGACTTTTAAATGAATACTAGGAATTGAATCAAATTCAGGTTCTGTTTTCCCAGTTCACCAATAAAGGGTACAACTCTCTCTCAAGATATTATACTGACTTAATGCCTAACATTACTCCCTTAGTGTCTTTAAAATCTAGATCTAGAGAGTAAAAAGTCAAGGCTGGACTCCTGGTTTTCTGGCTTGGGAGAACTGGGTAGATGGTAGACTTTCACTGAGATAGGGAATTCAAGGATTTTAAAAGCAGACTTTGCAGGGATAGGTGAGAGGGAAAGAAGTTTTATTTGGACATGCTGTGTTCAAGGTACCTGGGCAACCTTCAAATTGTGTATTAACATCTAAGGCTGAGGAGACAAATTCTGTAGCTCTGGCCTATATCTAGGAGTCATCAGAACCATGGAAGTATAATCCAAGGATGAGAGAAAGACGAGGGAGGAAACACAATTCTGGAACATACATTTATTAAAGGGACAGGTAGAGAGGAAGGAGCCTAAGGAGTAGCCAGGAATAAAACCAAGAGTCTGGAATGTTTTAGAGTCAAAGGAAAAGTTTCAAAGCAGAGTAGTCAAAAGCTATGGTAAGGTCAAGATACAGGCTCGAAAGTATCCATTGAATTTAACAAAGATGTGTTCCTCACCAACATGACCAACAGTTCTGGCTGCTGCACAAGCCCTAGTACTATGAAAATCTGAAGAGCAAAGGAAAAGTAAGGACCGTGACATTGTGAATGTACAGCAGGCAATGATTTCACGAAGTCAGCTGTAGAGAGGAGGGGGAGAGAGAGCAGTAACTAGGAGGAGCATAGAGTCAAAAGTTTTAAGATGGGGGAGGGGAGAGGCAAGGGCAACATACGTAACCTAAACATCTGTACCCCCATAATATGCTGAAATAAAAAAAAAAAAAGTTTTAAGATTACAGAGAAGAACTTCTAATCAATGGTTATTTCTGAAGAACAAGAACTCTTTCGTTCCTATGTAAAATTTTGGAATGCTTTCCCACACAGGATTATGGAAGCCTGGTCCCTGATCTGAGAGTTGGAAAAAGTTGGACTAAATATTTTTCATAATTTATTATTATTATTTTAGAGATAAGAGTCCTGCTCAGGCTAGAGGGCAGTGACTCAATTACAGATTACTGCAACTTTGAAATTCTGGCCTCAAGTAATCCTCCTGCCTCAGCCTCCTGAATATCTGGGATTACAGGCATGTGCCACCACACATGGCGCGCCTATATAGATAGATAGATAGACAGATAGATATAGATATATTTTTTCTGTAGATATGGGATCTCACTATGTTGCCCAGGCTGGTCTCAAACTCCTGGCCTCAAGCGAAACTACTGCCTTGGCCTCCCAAAGAGCTGGGATTACATGTGTCAGTCACTACATCCAGTCCCACCATTTAGTTTCATAGGTACTGATAAAGAAATTAAAGCACTTATGACAAATATAGGTCACATTTCCATAGATTTCAGTTTCCAAATAGGAAGGCGAGCCCTTAACCTACTGACACCTCTTGAACCATAAAGTCTGGCCATCACTTTTCAATATATTCTAACAGCAATAAATTTATGAGCCAAAAAAAAGATTTGGGTTAACAAGTGCCTTAATTTTAACATTGTTCTCAAATCCCCGAATGGAGCTATGAAACACAAAACTATATAGCCTTTTACTATATTATTTTCTCCTCCCGTATTCAACTTAAATGGAAAGATTTAAAAATCCTCAGAAGCAGGTCAAAGAACTGTGTTAAAGAGTAAAATGGGATAAGGAAAAAGGATCTCTAATCACTTTCTTTTAGAATATCTAATATATGCACCAAGTAATAATTCACTACTTTAAAATAAAGTAACACTTTTAAGTAATTTAAGGCCAACAGAGCAAGCAATTATTATTGTTTTATTGCAAGTGGGGAAAGTGAGGTGAAAACTACACGCAAATGTGGTTTATGCACACCTAAAAATTATTTTAAATCGAAGTACAGATATGCATATATACATAATTTTTATGGTTACTCAGAAGTGCCTCTTCTATCCAAAGCCCCCGCACTTAAATACTTTTGTTATTCTTATTTATGTCACTTTTGTTGGTTCTTCAATGATCTTTGGCAAAAACAATCAAGCACGTGCACTGCAGCTGTTCCCCTTTGCATTTGATTCACTAGACCCAAATCATTTCCTTCCTGGAGTTCAAAAGATTTCACAACTTGTTTTTGGTATCTTAAAGCTCTGTTTTAATTTTGGAGATTGTTATTAAAATATCAGGAACATTTTTAATCAAAATACTGCTAATATTAAAAGAGAAACTTGCATTCTTAGAAGTTAAATTAGGTACATGGGTAGGTATAGTAACAAAACCCAATTCAGAAAGTAAATACCTTTATTCTAACCAGTTTTAGAGTCTACTTTCTACTAAAAAGCAGAACTTTCATTAAGGAAAAAAATATTACCATGGTCTTCATGGGCAGAAAATAATTTCAGCCACAGTTAAACTGTCTGACAACAGAAAACAAATAATAAACCTACAGATAAGGAAAAACTAGGTCCCCAGCTTCAATTCTCAAGGTATGGTTTACTATACAAATAAATATAAATTTCTTTTGATTTTCAATTTTAGTAGTTCTGGCTTTATTTGTGAACAAATGCTAAATCAGAGATGAATTATTACATAGTTACAGGATAGAACTCTAAAAAAGAAAACACTTTAATAAAGTTCTTAACTGAGTTTATAAAATGTTAGCCTATTTTAGAATATAAGCAATTTTCCACTTACCTACTACAAACATGATCTATAAGCAGAGACACAGAATCTAGATTATTATCAAGTTTGGTATTGTGATATAGGCACCGATCCCTTTGTAGTTCCACTGCCTGCCGCAGAAGAGTCTGTAAACGCCGTGGGGGAAGCATCACTGATGGTGGTAAATAGGCTTTAATAGAAGATATTTTAAAAAAGAGAAATAAAAAATAATAATAAACTGTAAACTTTAAGACATTTAGTCATCTCCTGCTCTACTTGTCCCTACCCCAGTAATACCGTGTCCCTTAAATAGAGAAGTTCTGAGTAATATAATTTAACATGTGAGCTTTATGAATATTTGTCAGCAGCTATAGCCATGTTGCCACTAGAATGGGATATATACTTGGGTAGGACTTTATTTTGTAGGTGGATTTTCTGGAGGGAGTGGAAACCAACAACAACAAAGAGAAGAAAAAAGACAATAATGAAAAGAAAATCTAACAATGATTAAGTATCAGAAGGAGACTAATTATTAGAAAAATTTCCCCTTATCAAAGAACAAAATTTTGGCAAAAGGCTGGAACAGGTCAACTCCCAGTTCCTATCAAATTGCTCCTAATGCCAAGGATACTGTGGAAATTCGGGGAATAACTGGTAGTTTGGTATCAATACCAACCTACTGCAATCCTTGAATGCCTTATACTTCCCAATGGCAAGGTTTTCTAATTCTTAGCATCTCCACTCTCATCTCAACATGAAAACTACAGAATATGATTTAACCACAGAGGAGAAGAAGGTCATTTACATAAAGATATGGCAAAAATTAAACCCCTACTATAATTTAGAAGATATAATATACTTGGGGGAGAGTAAAACAATTTACCTAAAGAAATCTGGGCCTTATTATTGAAATCAACAAAATTTTTACAGCACTCATGGCTTAAAGGTATGGGTTTACTTATTTTTTTCTCTAACCACACACTTTCCCCCCAAGCAGAATCTTAAGAGGAGCATCACTGTACAATACAAATGCATGAAGAACTGCTCTGAGACCAGCACCCTCTTACTGACTCCTCAAGTTAGCTTCTTATACTCCATGACAGAGTTTGAAAATCTTTGATTTAAAGCGCTTCTTAATGGATGTCCTCTCTTCTCCTATAACCACTTAATGAAAGTATGTCTAGATATAAGTCATCCTAACTGATACATAGTATCTATTTCTAATCTAACAGAAAACACACAAACATCAAAAATGAAGACTCTTACTCTGAAGTTTGTCCAACAATTTGGATCGGGAAGCTGTCCCTTTGCCTTCCCACTCTGCTTTTGCACGTAGGTCTTCCGCATGGCTACACATCAGATACCTAAAAATACAACAGTGAAAGCAACAAATATCAAACCCATTCCTTTGAAATAAACATAATTGAAAAACACTGACTATTTGGCTATCCAGTTCTTACTAATACATATCACAAAGAAATTTCTACAGTGGACCCAATTCATCAATTCATAAACCTGGTACCTACATACAATTACTAAAATGTAAAGGAACAATAATAGCTAAATATATATTATTGTTATGCTATGTGTTAATATATTTTTATATTATCATTCTTGACAGGCTCTGTTCTAAGCACTCAACATGTATTACTTCACTTAATATTTATAACCCTGTAAGAAGTAAGGTACTATTATTCTACTTTTACAAATGAAGAAACCAAGGTACAGAAAACTTAAGTAATTGGCCTTGGGTTAAGAGGCAAAGTAGAAACATAAACTCAGGCATTCTAGCTGTAGAACTTGCTCTTAACTACTATGCTAACTTTACTTCTGAACAGTAAAACAAAACCTTCAGAATATTTATACTACATTAATTAAACAAAAACAACATACTTTTAAGAGTTTATCATAAACATCACTCAAGAAACAGTATAATTACATAATCATCCTTGCGTTATCCAGTGAAAGGTATTGAGATCCCAGAAGACAAAACTGGGGAAATGTTTTATTACTCATTATTTGTGCAGAAGATAGAATGAACGCTAAAGTTCATAGATTTCTGCAGAATACATATGGGTCCGCTGCTGGGGTATGGCCCTGACCTAGTTTTGGCTCTTCTCAGAATGGGCTTTGAAACTAAAAAAAGTAAAGGCATTATTCAAGCATGGAGATTAGACCAGGCAAGTAACTCTCCTACTATTTTGTCTGGTACTCTGCCAGACAAATCTGTTCTTTTTGCTTATTAAAATATGTATATATATATTAAATAGGGGAATGAGGATTTTTTAAGATGAAGTACACGAAGTACTTGGTCTACTACAGGCTCTATAAGCAAAGCTCAATAAATGATAAGTATCAGAAACCTCTCTGTTAACATAAGTATCACTCCCTTCTTAACTGGATAAAGCATATTTTCGTTTAGACTCTAAATGATTTAATAGCCTTTTACCCAACAGAACTACTTGTTATTTTGCTATTTAGTACATAAATATTGCCTTAGCTGATGAAAAAAAAGGTACTTTAAAAAAAAAAAGTGTAAATAATTATACTCAAAACACCCTATAGGAAGCTGGATATTGTGAAAATTTTGTTTCTATTATCTTCTGGGGAATAAAATTTATTATCAATAATTACATGAGAAATTGTTCACGTTAAATTTTCCAAAAGTGACTTCTTGTTGATTGCTTCTGTGCCCTTATGAAAATACACATTAAATCTTCTTCTTCTTCTTTTTTTTTTTTTTAGAGACAGGGTCTTGCTCTGTTGCCTAAGGCTAGAGTGCAGTGATGTGATCACAGCTCACCGCAGTCTCAAACTCCTGGGCTCAAGCAATCCTCCTGCCTCAGCTTCTTGAGTAGCTAGGACTACAGGCATGCACCACCACGCCCGGCTAATTTTTTTTTTTTTTTTAATTTTTGTAGGAATAAGGCCTCCGCTATGTTGCCCAGACTGGTCTCGAAGCCCTGGGCTCAAGTGATCCTCCCACATAGCCTCTCAAAGTGCTGGGATTACAGGTGTGAGCCACCAGGCCCAGCGAACCTTAAGGTTTTAAATGAAGGTCCGTTTATGGAAAGTCACATGATATAACCAAAAGGACATTGGACTGAGAGGAAGAAACCCTGGGCTCTGATCCCAGCTCGACATCTTGCCATATCTGGGCCATTTCCTTATGTGAAAAAATCAGGGGATAAACTTAATGCTGAAATCCACCTCAGAAGAAAAATTATATGATTAAATTATATGTTCTGCAGGAAAGAAAATCATGTGAATGATATTTAGATGATAAAGAAATCAAATACCTTATGAAAAGTAAAGAGAACAAGATAATTTGTCAGCCACCTTATCAAAATATCTAGCAGAATTTACTATTTCAAGATGTGGTGGTAGGTAAAGACCAGTGACTTTGGAATCAGTCAAACCAGGCTTTGAGTCTTAGCTCTCTGATTTATGAGCTTTTATGCTGGGCTGGTTACTTCTTTGAGGCTTAACTTCCTTACCTTGAACTCTACACCACTTTGGGCCCATTCTTTTGTCCATTGTTTTGTATTTACAGACTCATTATGTGTCAGATATTATTCTAGATGCCAGGGCTGTATCATATAGTGGAAAATGCTATAAAGGAAAAAACTTAAAACAGTGATGTGACAGAGAATATCCAGTAGGTAATCTTAGGAGAGGATATTTGGGCTGGGAACTTAGCAACTAGTTGACAGGTATGCAAAGAAGATTGGGAGAAGTGCATTTAAGTTAGAGGGAACAGGCAGTGCAAATGCCTTAAGGCTTGGAAAGTTAAGGAACAGACAGACATTACAGACAGTAATGAATAAAGGAAAAGACAACAGGAAAGGATCAGGGATCTTGTGGGCTTGAGTAGCAATTTTGGGTCTTTAGTGTACTAGAAAGCCAGTGGAAGGTTTTAAGCAAGGGAGTAAAAGGATTTTTTTATGGTTTTACTTATGTAGTTCTATGGCTGCTGTGTGAAATAAGCATTGTTAAGGGATTAAGAGTGAAGGCAAGGCAAGTTGGTAGCAAGCTACCATAATATTCTAGGGGAGATGTCTATGACTTGGATAGAAATTGTGGAGATGGAGAGAAATAGACAAATTTGGGATGTTAGGCCATATATGTCAAAGTTAAAAGATAAAGAAAAAGCAAGGATGAGGCTCAAGTTTTTCCTTTGAGCAACTGGTAGAAGGTCTTGCCACTTACAAGTCTGTAGGGGTGGAATGGATAGAGGCACAACCAGATTCAAGAATTTTATCTGGCCGGGCGCGGTGGCTCACGCCTGTAATCCTAGCTCTCTGCGAGGCCGAGGCGGGCGGATTGTTTGAGCTTAGGAGTTCGAGACAAGCCTGAGCAAGAGCGAGACCCCATCTCTACTAAAAATAGAAAGAAATTAATTGGACAACTGAAAACATACAGAAAAAACTAGCCAGGCATGGTGGCGCATGCCTGTAGTCCCAGCTACTCGGGAGGCTGAGGCAGGAGGATCGCTTGAGCCCAGGAGTTTGAGGTTGCTGTGAGCTAAGATGACGCCAAAGCACTCTAGCCCGGGCAACACAGTGAGACTCTGTCTCAAAAAAAAAAGAATTTTATCTTTTTTTTTTTTCTTCCCCAAGGGGCCATGCTAATCTTCTCTGTATCATTCCAATTTTAGTATATGTGCTGCTGAAGCGAGCACAAGAATTTTATCTTGAACACATAACTTTGAGACATCTATTACACATCCAAGTGGAGACTGTCAAGTATACTAGTAGATACATTGGGAGTTCAGATAAGAGCGTAGATTTAAGAGCCATTAGCACATAGATAGTATGTGAAGGCATGGTATAGAGTGAGATTACTTAGAAAGAGTATGTATTTAGAGACTACAAGGGAGGCCCAAGACCAAGACTTTGGGTATTCTAACCTTTAAAGTATTGATGTGAGGACAAAATGAGATTGTGTAAATGAAATGCTTAACGAGGACCTGATGCATGACAAGTATTCACTTAAAAAAATGTTTGTATGCACCAATACTGGAATCTTCATTGCTTACTCTGATCTATGTCATAGGGTTTTTATAAAAGATTTTGAAATAGCATTTCACAGCCAACGCGTATTTCTTCTTCCTTTCACCCACTTAAATCTCTATCTTAATAGGGATAGCTTCCTGGGATGACAAAAATAGTCTATATATACATAAGTGAATTTACCCAGACAAATATGAATCTAAGAATTTAGTAATAGTTAGGTATTTGTATCTTGGAAAAATGTTAAAGAAATGTAACTTTAGGCCGGGCGCGGTGGCTCACGCCTGTAATCCTAGCACTCTGGGAGGCCGAGGTGGGAGGATCGTTCTGAGCTCAGGAGTTCGAGACCAGCCTCAGCAAGAGCGAGACCCCGTCTCTACCAAAAAATGGAAAGAAATTAATTGGACAGCTAAAAATATATGTAGAAAAAATTAGCCGGGCATGGTGGCGCGTGCCTGTGGTCCCAGCTACTCGGGAGGCTGAGACAGTAGGATTGCTCGAGCCCAGGAGTTTGAGGTTGCTGTGAGCTAGGCTGACGCCACGGCACTCGCCCTAGGCAAGAGAGTGAGACTCTGTCTCAAAAAAAAAAGAAATGTAACTTTGGCCAGTGGTAACCTTGTAAACATAACAGCCCCTTCATCAACCTGAGTCTAACAACTCAGCTTCCTTACCCACTAAGAACATGAATGCGCTCTGTATTGTATTTCAGCGGCGTCAATTCACAGCGTAGAACTTGAAGTGCCTCTAGGACCTTGCCATCCTCCAGGTATTCTAGGTACTTCTGCTGCAGCAGCAAAAACTTCATCCTCTGACATGACAGAAAGCAGCAGTCAGGGGAAAAAGGTTGATGGAAGTTTCAGAAAATGTTTGTGCCTAAACAGAACAGTAGAAACCATTCTACTATGCCCTTTGAAAATAACTTTATAAAGCTTCAAGATGATTCAAAATATTTTGGTTTAATAGAGCTATAGTAGATTAAATGTGATTTTGATCAATTCCACATCTTACTAAAACTCTGCTTTGAATGAATAAACTCAAATCAGACAAGATCATTAGTGACTAAGGCATCAATACGGGAAAAAATCAATTTTGTTCTCAAAACATTCCCCTAGAAGTATATTTCTTGTATGAAAATTTAGAACTATTCCAAGTATTCTAAATTTGCTTTTTAAAAATACTGACTTTTATACTAGGGCATGCAACAAGTTTGGAAAAGATTGGAGAAAAATCAGTTAACAGAGGAATTATTTAAAAGTCACAATGTGAAAGATGGACCAAGTAGAACAGAAAGCAGAACTAGAGCTAAAGTGTCAGATTTTAGCTTATCAAGAGTAAGAAGAGCTGTCCAACAAATGGACAGGTTGGTGTGCAAAGTATTGAGTTTCCTATGACTAAAGTGGACAAGCATAAGCATGATGGACTCTCTTCTAGGAGGATATAAAGGGACGCCTACATCAGAAGGTTGCACTTAAAAGTCTTTAAAAAGATTCAATATTTGTATTTGTGTGTTTGTAATAATCTGATCACTGATGCATTTAACTATAAAGCACAATTATTATCTGCTCTTACCCTGCCAAAGGATAAATCACTTTCTAGCTTATTGTGAAGCATTTTCACATTTAGTTTTTTTTCTGAAATGTTTGACTATTTAATACTTTTTAATGTTAACTTTATTATTTTCCTTTTAACTTGAAAGTGATCATCACAATATTAGCAGTTTTTTACTACAGAAATATGAAAATTTATGAATATCATGCTCAGAATTTCTTTTAAACCTTAAACCTAATTAAGGACCTCTGCTTGGAGGGATCTTTTCATCGTATGTGTTGCTTGTGGAGCTTGAGCAAGCCAATTGATATATGGAGAAAAGTTAGTAGGTAGGAAATGTTAGCCATATTTAGAGACTCCAAGAAATAAAGTGGTAAAAATCTCAAGTCCACTTATAATAAAAACCTAAATTATAGCTTTTTCTTCTTCAGCAAGATGTTTACTTTTAAACCATCAAAAATATACAGCTGTCATAAAATGGTGTGGAGAAATTACATTTGCAGAATTAAGAGTAAAATCAACTGCTCTACAAGATTTTCCATCAAGGAGTATTTAGAAGAGAAGCATAAACTACAAGCTTATAAAAATAGTTTTTAGGGAAAGTAAACAAAAATTATCTGCCTCATACAAATTAGGCATATATTTAAATACATCCTTAATAAGATACATTGCTTATGTTTGATAATTAATCTTAAATCTATAGCTAAAGAACAGAAAAAATTTCAAACTGAGACAAGTTCCTGTAAATCTAGGAAAATTACACTTACCAACTTTTACACATAAAGTTAGACTGACTCAATAAACGTTTCAGAAATAGATTTAATTACCAAGATGCCCTGAAAAATATACTGCTGTATATGTAGCCTGAAGTTAACCGTTATAGTCAAATAAAAAATACTTTGAAGTTCATCAAGTGACAAAAACCAAAAACTAAACAAAAAAATCTAAAATCCAATGGATTTTATATTTGAAGTTACTCTGGATATTCTCACCATTTTCTCTTCTGAAAAAAAAAAACCTCAATTCTTTATGAAATGAAGACCTCAAATAGTTCCATTGGTCAATAAACAAAAGTCTTATTTCATCTAGGGTATTCTTGATTCAAACTTGAGATCATATTTGGTTGCAGAATTTTTTCATTTAAAATGCCAGATGGAACTGTCCAGAGCATTCAATTTCTTCACTAAATTTTCTTAGCAATTGGGAATTTGGGGAATGCTTTTTCTAATCCAGGGCAAATCTTTTATTTACTTATTATTTATTTATTAGTATTGATCATTAGGTCCCATGCCCATCCTCCTCTCCTCCATTCCAATGTGTGTAGGGACAGTGCCCCAAGTGCTATTTCCCCCTTATTTTCCCACCAAGATCTTGACAGAACACGTTACTCTCTTTCTTTGGGGCAGAGGCAGGGCAGGAGAGAAGAGGAAGGCAGACCAAAACTTTGAGAGATGCCAATGTAAACACATATTTCTGTATATACAGGCAATGCTATAAAAGTAGCACAAAAGCATTTCTCTCTGAGTCATTTTATCCAGATTAAGACCAAGAATATCCTCAAACAGATATCAAACCCTGGTATCGTGCATGGCAACTAACATGCTGCTAGCCAAGCACAGCTAGAGATTTGGTTGAGAAAGAAATGTTTATTCTCCTAAAAATCAGTTCAACCTTAAGTATTTGACACATTATGATAAGGATGGGGAGTAAAATTGTATTTTACCTCCCAAAATTTAAAACACTAAAATGTAAACATAATCTCAAGGAAATAAAGTCCTTTTAATTAACAAATAATGTCATTTACTGAAAAAGTTGTAAAAAATCAGGCAAAATTAAAGCTTGCTGAGATGGGGACAGGGCGCTCTTTACTCATGTATATACATTTTTTAAAGATCTTGAGTTTCTTAAAAATAAATAAGAAAAAAAGAAAAAAACACCAGGGAGGGCATGGAAGCTCCATGCCCCTTCCCCCACACCTCACCCTACACGCCTCTTCATCTGTATGCTTTGTAATATCCTTTACAACAAACCAGTAAATGTAAAAAAATAAATAATAAAAAAAAGAAAAAAAGTTGAGGAAATAAACTCTCTTTTGTATCTTCCTCCAACACTCAATTAGACCTTTAAGAGATTAGTTCTGGTCTCTGATGATTTTTCAACATCTCTGGGCCCTGCAATATTTCCTTCTCTATTTTAACATCTAATAACTTGAAATTGATAAGTGAGTTGGATACTCGAATGATAGTTTCACACAGTCAATTCTGCTGTTGCCTCCCTACTCAAATTGGACTGCTTTATCCTTTCCTCCCATGTTATTAAACTGAACTCAACATGAAAGAAAAACTCAGAAGTTATGATACACAGAAAGTCTGGTCATCAAGGGCAGCCTCCTAGCTAACTTAGTAGTGGTTCTGACTAACTCTGAAGTAAGGCTATAATGAAGTTTTATCAATTAAATCATGACTCAGAGGAAAGGGGAAATGAATTACATTAAACCATGGCTCTCAAAACTCCTTCTTATTTGATTTTAAAATGTATTAATTTTTATATGTCAAGTCAATATTTGAACAGTTTTGTTAACCATATTTCTATTATATTAAAAATAAAGAACCAAACATTTTTAGATATACAAAAGTTTTCTGTTACTGGTCTGAAATACCCATCCAAACTGTCCAGACATGGCTAAGCATATTTGAAACCAAACTAAAAATGCTGATTTCATGAGAGCAACTTCTTCTATTCCTAGTATTTGACTGGAAACCATTTAAAAATGGGGGATGGGGGGCAGGGGAAGTGGACTGGATCAATAAAAACATTCAGGTTTAAAAAATAAAGTACAATTTTAGTTCAGACTAAGTCATCAAATGTGTCTGGGTATATAACTAAGATAATTATGTATAAAAACACCTTAATAGCTGTCTATGCTATTATTACAAATTTAAGCTTATATTACATTCTCTTCTTCTGGAGATGGGGTGGGAAGAGAAGTAAATTTAAACACAATTAGAAAAGTGAAGAGCAACTTCAAAAAAATGCTGAACTGACTCTTTAAAAGCAATTGATTCATCAATGCTTAAAGTGAGATAAAAGTTGGAACCCCTTTCTTTGTATAAATACCTAAACAGTGTGATGATGTGAGGCTCACCCAGAGATTTAATCTTCATCTTTTATTAGATCCTAGAATGTTCTACAGACTGAACAGGCTGTAAAAAAAAAAAGGATTCCTCCTTATTATCTACAACTACCTTTCTTCAGTTTACATGTTACTTCTAATGAAGGTTTCTAATGAGACAGGTATGATCTAAATCCAATACAGAAGTCTGAAATTACTATGAATAAGAAAAAAACAGGAAGTAAGCCTATAAAATTTTTACTAAATTACAGATATAATTTGGGTGAAGCTTAAAAAAGGAAAACGACCTCCAAGAAATCACATACATTTTAAAATAGTCCACAGGCAAGTTCTTTACTGTCACTCACAAACCATGCTAACTTGCCCAATGCCTTGGAAAGGAACTCAAATTCCTATTTTGGCCATTTAATTGTCCTTATTTTAGCTCATTCAGAGCTAAAAATTTATGAGCAACTGCCCAATAAAATATACTTAGTTTTTGTTTTTTTTAACCCTCAAATTTACTGGCCGGGGAAACTTTAGTTACTGATAAATTTGTAACCCGTTTGAATACAAATGTTTAACTATTTTAACTTCTTTTTATTTTTAAATTTTACTATGGAATCGATTATTATATAAGTTAATTTATTAACAATCATCTGAGCCACTAGTAGTTTTACATTTTTAATATTTTAAATATTTACTGAAAGTCTGAAAATAATATACTAGATCAATTTAAATGAGTATTTGTTCATACTTGATTGCACCTTTGATGCACCTGAGGCTCACTCCTAGGATTATACTATTGTATAGAATTGTATTAAGAGTTTGAAAACTCTTTGTAATAAGATTCCAAAAGAAAGAAAAAGAAAAAAACACAAGGCTAAGTTTATCAACAGACAGAAAAGATTAATGTTTGACTCAATTTAAAAAGCCCAAAATGTAAGTCATTTACTAATATTTAACAAATAGCTGGTTTCCCTACTTCACTTCCTATTCACCTTCTTTCCCTCCCCCACCAGACAGGAAACTGCTTTTGACAACAAATGAATCAGCTAGAAGTTAAAAAGCCAGCAGCTAACAGCTGATTCTTCATGGTTTCCAATCACCAGCACTTAGAAAAAACTTATTCCTTCCTTTCCCTCACCAACATCTGAAGAATTTAAGCCCATCAGTATAAAAGATTCATTAAGACTTATGAAAGAGGCTAACAGGTTAAACTACGAAATTGATCTTGTCAGGGAAATAAGGCCAATAAGCAGGGCCTGGTGGTCAAATCTGCACCCAAACCCTCCACCAGAGTGATACACATTATACAAACTTTGACACTGTCAATGCACACAACTGGAATGCAATAATGGAAAATGGTGAGCACACCAATGGAGTTGGTTTGAATTAATTATAATTCCCAAAGATTAAAAAAAACATAATTAACGTATCAGCTTCTTAAGGCAGTATGGATATACACACACCCAAACACATTTCTCTTCAAATAGCACATTCAGTATTATAAGTAACATAAAAGTATAATTTATCCTAAACTCTGTAAATATAAAACTCCTATCAATAGCATTAAAAGCATGAAGATATTTCAATATAATTTTTGTAGAGCTTAATTCGTGAAATAGGTTCAAACAACACATTTACTAAATAAGATTTTAAAAATACAAAACTCATACTTTAAAACATCATAAACACTCATCTTAGTTTACAAACTTAATTATATGAAATTTAACTACTTTTAGGCCTTATCTTGTACGAGAGGCAGAAGCCTAGAGTTATCAATAACCTACTAAAATAAGCATAAATGTGAAACTAAGAACAAAAGTGTATTTACCACAATTATTCCCAACAACGTTTGAGAGATTTCAAGTGCGCCTCTTACCACAATAGCATGAGGAGAATGCACTAAAGGCTTTAGTTCATTCAGGTCATTTTCTGCCTGTAAAAATTGGTATAAAAGAAAAACAGAAATGTCACAAAATGCACATCAAATATGTAATTTTAGCAGCAGTCACACAGCTCTATATGCCCTACTTTACCTTATCCCAGTCTCCTTCCATGACATGATTTCGGAATTTGGTAGCAGAAGGATGTTCTAAACGACATCCTGACTCTTGCATGAGGAGATCAACAGTCTGGCTGCAGGAGAGATACAGTGTAAAAAAGACCTGACCAACTTTAGGGTTTTACTCTTCCAAATAAACTAATGTCCATGAACACGGTTGCAAAGTTTTTGAGCTAACCTCATGATGAAGGAAAAAAAGCTTTAATGTGCTTGGTTAAACTAACTTGATTTAAAACTACCACCTACATTTATTCCTAGTCAAGTTAAAAACCTTTCTTGAAACTAGAATCAAAATCAGTTCTCTCTACATTTGCCATTTAATGCCTCAGTAGTTTAATGAAGTATAAAATTTCTAAAAATGTGTTGTAACCAACTAGTAAAATAAATGAAAAACCAGGATCCACATACTACTAGTTACATTTGGAAGATAAAAATTATTAATATTAGCGCCATACAAGGTGAAAGAGATGATCTGTGTTAGGTAAGAGCTTATATCCAGATATTGTATCAGTATAGAAAAATTCTAGGAGGTCAATCTTTAAAATTAAAATAAATCCAGCATAAAAAATCATTCCCTTTCTCTCTATACTAAAAATAGCAAATTTACTATGGTGTAGGTTCCAAACAGTCACGAGTTATTTCCTCCTGCTGCTGTCAGCTTGCTTCTTGTCTCAGTAATATGTTCTGTTAGCATTTACAAAATCTGTTTTCATACTAATCCTTTTCCTTAGGGAATAAAGTGAAATCTTCCTACAGCATATTTCTCTTTGAGAGCTTAAAAGATTCATCAATGTATTTTCTTCCCTCATGTATTTTGGTATCTAAGGACCTTAATTTATCAGTCTTATATATTTGTGTTTATGTTTCAATGCTTTTTCATTCAGCACTACTTAATTTTCAGCTGAACAGTGCGATGATCTGCCTGAAAATCAAGATACTTATGCCACTTTTTAAAAGTGCCAACCTTCTCAACAAATCCATAAATCCCAAACTACACATTGGCTAGCCTAAAGGCTTATTTTAATCTACACTTTGAAGCTAGAAAATTGACTGTTGCATGTTTTTTTCCCCCTTCATCTCATTCTGGTTCTGCCTCTTGCACCTCCTTCATGTGGCTCCAGGGCACTCCCACCAATCCTACCTTCCACCCCCTTGGTTTTTCTTTGTGGTCTTTGGCCAAGGTTACTGTCTACCTTCACCCTATGTTAGGTACACAAGGCCACCTAAATTGTATTTGAAAACAAGTGATTCACCAGATCAGATGTCCCTTTTTCAGAGGCGATCACCTTCTTGGTGTTAAACTGGGATTTCAAACTAGTTAATGCTAGGCCTCTTGTACACACACAAGGGCCTTTAAATGACATCAACACTGTATCTTCATTATTCCCATTAGATTTATTCAACCACCTCTTTCCAAATTATCCCAGCCCCTCAGTTCCCATAAACACTTGTAGGTGATTGTCTTTCCTGTTTGGTAGTTTGCCTTGGCTGTTGTCTGTCATGGTTGGGGGTGGGGAGGTGTCCCACAAAGATGCCTCTAAGATATACTTGAAAAACAAATCCTCCAAGGTTCATTATTTCCAGCAGCTCTAATCCACCCCTCCCCCAACACATACAGAGACACACTCCTGCATCTGTCTTTATTGACAGACAATTAAGCTCTGAAGGTGTGTGGGGAGGAGTCATTCTTTTGGCTTCTCCTATCCCTCCCCAACCCCTCAACCGCCTGTCTTGTCTCACGATTTGTCAAGACTGATTGATTTTCCCTTATTTCCCTTCAGGTCCGCTCCTCCTCCCCGGTCGGCCTGAGCCGCGTCCTCCTAGGGACTGGGCCCTGCGTGCCCAGCAGTAATTCTCTCTTTGACCGAGCTCTTTCCAGCCACCGCCCCCGACCCCCGTCGCCGGTAGTCTCCGTCCCTGGGTCTGTCCATCACAAGCTGCCGGGAAGGGATACTTACTTGAGCCCTAAGCCATTCAAGTGCTGTCCTATTAGCCTAATGACATCCTCGTCTGACTGGGAGAGCCGCTTCTTCTTCTTGAGGCTGCTGCCCAGCTCTGGGGTGGCCAAGGAAGAGGAGGCGGCGGTGGTGGCGGAGGCAGCTGCGACGGAGGCTGAGGCTGCGGCGGCCGCCCCGCCGGGGACCCCGTTATTGACATTCAGGCTGTTGCTATTGTTGCTGGCGGCGGAGGGGGCGGAAGGCAGGAGCCCATTGGCGTGGGCCAGGTCCCCCGCCGACGACGACGATGAGGGGGAAGACTCCCCGTTCTGGGCCGACAGGCAGGCGAGTTCCTGGGTCTGTCCCTGGCCCCCGCCGCCCCCTCCTCCTCCACCGCCGCCGCCACCACCTCCTCCTCCTCCTCCTGCCCCGTTGGCCTGCATGATGCTACCGCTGACCAGGCTGTGGCCGCTACTTCGGTGGGGGACGGCACCGGCGGCGGAAGGGGCAGCAGCCGGGGGGAGTCCCACCACTACCACCACGGAGGAGGAGGAGGAGGAGGACGAGGACGAGGACGACGAGGACGGAGGGGAGAGGCCTGCTCTGCCTGCCGAAGCCCCGGGCTCTCCTGCTCCCTCCGCCGCCGAGGCTCGGGGTTTCTTCCGCGGGGGCGGGGAGGCTCCGCCGGTGTCCGAGTCGGAGGAGGAGGAAGCGGAGGCCAGAGTTTCCTCGCCGAGAGAGGCCGTGGTGGGAAGCCGGTGGGGCGAGGCGGGGGAGGGGAGGCAGGGGCCGGGG